AGCCTTGCCCAGCGAGGCAGCTCCAGACGCCAGCAAGATTGGCTCAGCCCCGCAGCAGCAAACTCTCAGCAGCCTGGCCCTGCGCCTCTACGCGCGCACGTGGCTCAGGGCGCAGGGCGCCGCTCGGCACACCTGCGCTGGGCCCATGCCCCACTTTCCTGCCCAGCCGCTCATGCAGGCCGGCCCTTCCCACTGCCCTCACGCTCCTGCAGCTGCACTGTTCCGTCTCCACAACCTGTGCTGCTGGGGAGACCAGGGCGGGGTGGGGGGGACATGGGAGGGGTCCTCTCAGGCCTGGAAAGTGAGCCTCGTATTTATTTAAGGGCGTTGGTAACAGGCACGTGAAGTGTGTGTCCTCACTGTGGCCTGTTCGGCCCCGGCCTGGCACCTGCCTTCCTGAAGGGCACTCCCCGACAGACCCTGACCAAGACGGAGACACCACCAGCCAGGAGCTTCCTGGGGCCCCAGCAGCCCGCCGCAGGCGCCGGGCACGGGCAGCTGACTTGCATCCTTCCAGCAAGTACACGTTAGCTAGCGCCCTTCACCAGCTCTGTCTGGAGCACCTGCCACCACGCCGGCCCCCTCCCACCACATGCCAGCTACATTTCAGTCACGTGGTGACAGCGGCCACCCCTCAGCCACCCGGGCCTCGGGGAATTACCGTCACTGTGCCACAAGCTTTGCAGGAAGGCCCCTCCACCCCCCGCCCCTGGTGAACTCCTCCTCCTTTACCATTCAGCTCAAGAGCAAAAGAAATACCACATGTTTTCACTTATGTGGAAATTTAAGAGAAGCCTCACCGAGGTAGAGTTGAAGAACGACCCCTATAGGCTGGGAAGGATGGGGGAAGGGCGGTGGATGTTGATGAACAGAAACAAAATTACAGAGAGAAACAATGTCCAATGTTGTAAAATACAGCAGGTGGGTACAGTTCTTTACCGTCTACCTCCGAGCAACTAAAAGATGATGTTGCTTATTCCCAACGCCAATGTAAGGACCAATGGCTGAGGTATGGGTAGACTCACTGCCCTGGTGTAATCAATGCATGTAGTATTCTCGCACTGAAAACCACAGTGTACCCCACAAACATGTACAAGTATTATATGTCAGTTACTAAAGAGCCCCCACCCCAGGAAAGCTTCCAATGCCCCCTTCTGAGCCGCCTCGACCCCCTGGGGGTGTGTCAGCTCTCATCACATTCGGCTGCTCATTCACTCCCTCCCTTCCAGGCCACTGCATATGCTGGGCAATGGGGCCTACTCCAGCCAAGCCAAGCCACAGCCGAGATGCCAAGGACACTTCTGTACCCCAGACAAGGTCGTCGCCCCGGAGGGCCCTGTCTGGCGAGAGTGGCCGACAAGCGCACAGAGACCTCAGGGGCGCAGAGCGAACGTGCTCTGGGGTTGGACTTGAGGCTCCATCTCTGCTCCTGCAGCTCCCTGGTCCCGTCAGGCCAACCTCAGATGGGCAGCTGGCCCAGGCTTGGCTCCTGGTAGGGTAACTCTGAGTCTCAGTGTTATCCTCAAAGCGGGGACACCAACTGCCTGGCCGCTGCTGGGAAGGTAATATGAAACTACCGGCCTCTGTTTACGGGTTCCCACCTTCTTCAGGGCAGGGGCCAGGTCTTACTGATCTCGTGCCCCGATATACATAGCAACAGCATAGCACAGGCACTGAGCAGCAAACGATGCGCGAGGAGTGAGTGAGTGAGTGAATGAATGGGAGCACAGGGCGGGCACCACTCCTACACTGGATGTCCGTCAGTAGGCGTCCCTTCAGAACCAGCGTCTCCCTCCATCCAGGGGGCTCCCTGCGGCCACAAACGAGGTTGTGTGGGCTCCAGACAAGGGAGAAGACCTGTGCGGAGAGCCCTGGGGACTGAGGAAGGGCTCCCCACCGTGGGAGGAGCCAGGATGGGGTCACAGCAGGGTGCCCTGATGGCCAATGGTCCTTGGGGCATCTCCTAAACTCCCAGCTCTCCCCGGGCCCCTGGAGAAGAGGGACTGTGTCTGCAGCACCCCCTGCCAGGAGTCACCTGCCCCATCAGTGGTCCAGGGACAGGCACTGTCCCCCCCGACTCAACTCTGGCCGAGTTCCCCACAGAAAGGGCGCCTCCACCCGGAGGCCAGGCAAAGACTGGGGCTTTCTGCTGCAGGCACGCGAGTGGCTTTGTCTTTGTCTGGCTTGGGGACCCCACCCCTCCGCTGAGAAGGTGGCAGCAGGAGGGGGCCTTTCTGAAATAGCACCTGCTCCCCAGGTTTAGGGCTGGCCCCCTCTTCCTCTTCTCTTGAGCCAGGTCTCTTCTGGCCGCCTTCAGGACCCCACCCCCACCCCACCCGCAGAGGCAACTCTGCTCCGCTCAGTCCCGGGCTCCCGAGAGGACTCGCCAGAGGGAGCCCCGCCCTTCCCCATTTGCAGAAGCTGAGGGCCTGGGACACCCCGTCCCCCATCCTGAGTTCCCTAGGAGACCACCAGCTGGTGCCTGCCTGAGGTGGGGTGAAGGGGCTTTCTGTGACAGCGGCACAGGTCTCTTCTCGGGCTCTAGGTGGCCCTGGAAACCGTGCTAGCATGTCTGGTGCGCCTCGGCGTGTCCCCTGAGGGGCTTCTGTGGGCATCTGGGTCCCGGCTTGCGCGTCTGCGGGTCCTGTGTGCCCCGTCTTCCTGTGTGTGCCTTTCTCGGAGACCATCTTTCAAGAAAGGTGCCACCGTGCGTGCGTGTGTCCGTGCATGTCACCGCGCGTGGGCTCCCCGGCTAGCAGCCCTCCCCGGGTAGCAGCTCCGGCCGCGCTCGCCGGGGGCCGCCGTCTCCTCCCGGGCCCGGCCGCCTTACCCTTGGAC